AATCCTATATTTTCCTATATCCTCATGATGGGTCGCTACGAAGCCTGCTAGAAAGCATACCTCATGAAATTGACGGATTCTTTTTTCTACCACAACAAGATCACTACACATCTGGTAAATGTCTACGCATACTGAAATGGAAGGAAAACGCTACAATTGACTTTCTTCTAAAAATTTCTATCAATTCTTCAGATAATGGTGCACATTCAGAGAAGGAAGCTCGTCTTTTTCTCAACCGCACAACTACGCACTTTGCGACGATGCCTTACTTGTCGAATTTGCAGAAATATGATAATAAAATTGTTTCATGCTATTACAGAAATAGTCAATGGTACGTTGATCGATTACGGCATGATAGGAAATATCCTAATTCAGAACAAACAGCTGCGGACATTATGGAATCAGTTCGAGGTCCGATCACAAGAGAAGCTATTTTTGATTTGATAAAAAATCAACCAAAAAACTATGTTCGTGGCAACGATTCATTATAAACTATATAAATCATAAGTCGAAGATGACAATGTTCGAACAAAAAAAATTGATTACGGATTTACTTGTCTAATTAAAACTAATTCATGCATAGTTCTTAAGAAACAAACAAAACTTCAGTTGTTGAAAGAGTGTGGGTGTGAGTATGGGTAATGAAAATACATACATTCAATAAAATGTTTGTTATTTGTGATGAGCTTTATGATTCTTCAATTTATATAAAGGGATATATTTGACACATTTAAATATCGATTGATGACAATTAATAATATTCTCACAGTGATGTACAGAGTATCGTTACTTTTGATATAACACTTTGATGTTGTAAAATAAGTAAATACCTTCTCCTTTGACTTGTATTTATGTCAAACTTATGCGAAAGAAAACGTATTATATCTTTTGAACAATGACGACTTTGGCTGTGCTATATCAATGTTTCGTTTTACTTCACCTGTTCGTAAAAGACGATAAAGATAATTGCATAAAAATTCAGTGGAAAAATTAACTGCTGTGAAGTACTATAGATTATTGTTAATGTTAATGTGTAAAGACATTTCATAAGATTAATCGTTGACTTGAACTACGATTTTTGTAAATAATTTCACATAATTACGCTCTTTAAATATTTCAATTTCTTATATACGATTTTTTATTAAATTTACAAAGTTATAAAAATAAAGTGTAACTGAAATCTATTGAATTCTGTAGTATATAGAACTTTTGATCTCAACTAATATACTAAATCTTCGCATCTGAGAACCGAATTTTAACACCTTATTTTAGCATTTTTTTCAATATTTATTGTAATTTATTAGATCGAATAGAGAAATATAAAGATGAATATACATTTCTAATGTATGCATGCCAAACACATGTTTTGCTCTTTATTACACGACAAAATACTATAAGGTAAAATGTGGAATAAAATCTGATTGACTCAGAACAACAAGGATAAGTTACATATAAAAATGTATGTACCGTCTGAATGTAAGTTATCGCGACCAATAAATATTCACTCATTTTAGAGTTAGATTTAATTTCAATAGAGAGATATCTATATATATATGTGTGAGAGTATAATTCTGATTGTAGAACCACTCCATTTATTTGCTTAAACATGTAAAGATGTCGCTTTTTTTCTAATGATTTATTGGATCATGTATATTTTTGTCTTTCCTGTGTTTACCAATGTTGGTAATTTTACATTATACAAAACAACATGTATCTTGTGCACTTTTGTAACGCAAAGAACGTATACGTGATGATGATGATGCAAAAAATATTATTTTATATTTAAACGAATACTTCTTGAGCAAGACTACATTTGTGAAATAAAATCAAAGATATGGTTAATTTAGTATTATATTTTCTTGGTCAACCAGAAACAAAAGCTTTACTCACTCTTTTTGTTTCAATTATTATTCTTCCTTTATCAGCATTTTCTGCACCTTTAGTTCCTCATTTTATTTGGGTGTTTCTTCGTTCATCATATCTTTTTCTTGGAATTTATTTTGTTGGTGTTTGCTGCCTCGTACGATGGATTGCTGGTGGTGGTCAATATGATGCTCTTAAGACAAAGGATCTTAGTGGAAAAACTTATTTAGTCACTGGATCAGCTGGTGGAATTGGAAAACAAACAGCTCTTGAATTGTCAAAGCTTGGTGCTAAAGTAGTACTGTTTGCCCGACCTAGCAACTTGCAACAAACGATCAGTGATGTTAAAAAAGTAGCACGAGATGCTAAACTTGTAAGTGGTTATCCAATTGATTTAGCTGATTTACGTTCAATTAAAACTGGCATTGAACAATATAAAAAAAGTGAAGGAGAGTAAGTATCATAATAACAAAATAATATCTGTAGATGAATATATGTTTTTTATTTGCAGAGATGCTCCAATTACTG